ATTTATGGTGATCTGAAACCTGAAAATACGAGTGTTGCCAGATTATTCGGTTTTAATGAAACTGCGGTCAATGAATTCTTTCAGAATCTTGAAACTGTTTACAGCAAACACGATTTTACTGCACACCGCATATTTAATTTTGACGAATCTGTTCTCAACACACCCAGAGTTACACTTAGCTGACAAACGTCAAAAACCGATTGATCAAATAGTATCGGTAGAGAGAAGAGTTAGTTACATTTGGCGTTATCATAGCAGAAAATGGTAATATAATACCACCATTATTTGTCTTCCCTTGTGTACACTTTAAGGATCATTTTGGATACAAATCAGACATATTTGTCGAAGTTCTGAAGCACATCTAAAAGCTTACTCTCTGTTCGAAGACAAACATTAATTCTATGCGACAATCAAGAACGTCACATATCTATTAAATTAATTAACTATTGGCGGGAACATGGTATGGTATTATATGGTATGAAAATATTATTCAATGATTTGCATATTTCCAACCCAGGGGAAACGATAAAAATTTATAATATTCCAAATTGTAACCGTTCCGTTGGAGACATAATAATATAATGACAGACATAATGACAGAAATATAACAAGAGCTTTTAAGAAAACCGGCATATGGACCTTTGATAAATTGATTTTTAATGATGAAGGTTTTACTATTCAAGTATATTATTCGAATCTTGCCACAACGTCGAATGAAAGTACAGGTGCTAATGAGCTTGTTAAAGTTTCTGCTTTGACTGCAGCAACTTTTTCGAGTGAAATGTCACCTTCATTACTTTCACAGCAACTTACAACAGCGTCGATATTTAATGATGTGATAATAAACAAATTTCAATTTACAAAGTATTAAAGACACCGGTTATAAGGCCAAGGAAAAGTTCAAAGAACTACACAATTAAAAAAAAGGTCGATCCCTAGGAAAACTCAGAATTTACACGGATACACCCGAAGAACATAGAATCGAAGAACTAGAGAAAGACAGAGAGGAAAGATGGAAAAAAGGAAGAGTAGAGCGAAAGAAATGAAACGTACTTTAAGTTTGATTAATGAAGTTTCTTCTAACCCAACAAAAAATAAAAAAGTATAATTATACTTTTTTATTTTTTGAGAAAGTGATATTAGTAGCAGTGAAACAGAGATTAGTTTAAGAGAAATTTCTGTATCTCTTTTTGACGACATTGAAGAAAACAAATTCGAAGACTCCCTACTTCAGCTGCACGTCTCGCTGGGTGTCATAAACAAGCTGTTGAACAGTTTTTCAACTTCCTCGGCAACGTTTTTGATGAGCACAAATTTGCCGGACAGAATATATAATTGAGATGAACAGGAGTTTTATTGCTCAGTGGTACCTAAAACCAAATCAAAAATAATTGCACGAAAAGGTAGAAAACAAGTGGGATCCATAACTTCTGCGGAGAGAGGTACTACAATAACTATAGAAATGTTTTAGTGCTAGTGGCCAATACATGCCTCCAATGATGGTATTCCCAAGAAAAAAGATGGACTCAGCTAACGCTGAATGCTGCGCCTGAAGCTTGGGGTGTGTGTAGTGATTCTGGCTGGATGACAGCTGAACTATTCCTTGGCTGGTTTAAGAAGTTTATTGAATTTAGTGGGGCACTCGGACACAAAACCTTGATGTCATTAATGAAGCTCGTTCCAACGGGGTTAATATATTATGCTTCCCCCCACATATGACTCATCGACTTCAAGTCGCCGATGTAGCATATACGAAACCCTTAGTACAAGACAAAGTAACTATTAACGAACCGCTGATATATCTGTTGTTATGAAACCATCTGCGATTGAAGCAGAACCTGAGCGAAGATGCTCCACTTGGATGACCAATATCGAAATAGATGAAAGGCTAACTACTCCACCATCAGTATTTTCTGTAGTTGGTCTTCAGCGAGTGATGTCTTATCCTTTAACTCACAAAATTTCACGTGTGACAAGGAAACGAGGAAAAACGGCTATCATAACTTCTTCCTCGTATAAAAATGAGTTAGAAAAACAATGAGAAAAAAATAAATTGGCAGAAGATAACATAAAGAGAAAAAGAGAGGTAAAAGAACAAAAAAGAATAAGAAAATCGAATTGGCTAAGAAAAATAATAGGAAGAAAACCGACAAAAATTCTAATTCCTCACCAGAATGCGACAACGAAGAAGATAATATCCCTTGCTTTTACTGCCATGAAAAATACTTGGATTCTAATGAAGGATGGGCTGCATTTTCTGTGTGGGAATTGGTCACACTGTAGCTGTGCTGGGATAGATGACGAGAACGACGAGGCAGTATTTGTTTGCGAGTTTTGCAACCAAAAATAGAATATGTCTCTCATACCCCGCTTGCCAAATAGTCTGTCTTACCCTACCTAGGAGGCAAGATGGGACGTTGAACATTTTTGACAAAATTGGTAATTGTTTTCTTTTTCTATGAGTGTAAAGTTCCTTAATTCCAAAGATGGATTATGTAAGAGTATAAATAAATAAATATTCAAAATATTTAAAGATGTACATTTTATTAGGCTCCAAACGTTAAGGACCCCGTCTTGCCCCCTCTTCTCCTATCAGGGAAAAAGCCCTAGATGGCGACGCTGGCTTCTCAGGCGTTATCAATCATCAAGGCTAAAGCAATGATTCTAACCAGATGTCTCAACATCAAGAACAGTCCACAAGATTATCCTCCTACCGTGAGGGCTGTCCTCTCACAATTAGACGTAGTTTATGACCATGCATATCTTAAATTCGTACAATGTATGTGGACTCCATATTGCCCGGCAACCAGGTCTTAGTTCCTCCCAGCATCCGATGGGATGGAAAGGCATTCAAAGATTTGATTGAGAAAATACAGTCAGAAGAAGGGTCGAACTTCCCCATATGCCGGTTGCTGGACAATAATAGGCACCAAGACCTAAACCAAAGCAAGTATCCGGAGCTCTATACGGTATCCTTACAGTGGGCAGGAAGACGAAGAAAGTTCAGAAGAACTATCAGGAAAAAAGCGCTGAACAGCGGGGCTAACCTCTCAGGCGTTGCCAAATGTAGTGGATGAACCAACACAACACTTTGGGAGTCCAATGTTATTGCACTTCATATTGTTGGCCACCAGGCTTTAGTTCTTCCGAATATCCGACGCAATGCAAAGGCATTCGAAGAGGTTATTGACAGAATAATTTGTCTTCGCAACTTTCGATGGTAGGTCCATAAAAGGATGCCAGAAAAAAAAACATAAATATCGACCGGCCAATTCCACGCACATAAGGCAACAGTTAGAATGAACCTTTTTTAGACCGATAAAAGTAGCCTCGGTTGGCATCAGTATCTAAAAGCCGGTTCCCGCGGTCAGTTAAAATGTTTTAATGGACTAATTAAAACTAAACGCAGGAAATAATATCAAAGCTGGGTTCTGTAAATCAGGAATCATTCCATTAAATTTAAATGAAATCTTATCATGATTAAATCAAGAAACAGATGCAAGTAAAAATGCCTTTGATTAATCTTTTCTGAAAATCCTAATAGGCATGAATTATGGCACAAAGAAAATTAGGGAACCAAAATACAAAAAAAAAATAGAGGTAGTTTCAGGGCGAAGTATAAAGATACCTTCAAAAATTTGGAAATTATAGTTAGAAAGGAAAAGGAATTGGAAAAATTGTAAAACACAGAGACCGAGCTCAAGAAATTACCAACAGGAAAGTGCAAACCGATAATGAAACAAATAGTTTTATAATTGAGAATAAAGGACCTGACGATAGAAAACACCAAAGAACAAGAAAAAACTTAAATTTGTTATGTGACAAAACAATCAACAAATGATGAGATGGGATGAGAAAGAAAATGTTATGCCTATTTCACCGGATATCAAGAGATATCAATGATAAAAATGTAACAACGGGTGACAGTGATACATATTATATTTTAAAAAGCCCTTAGAGAAATTTATTCAAATTCCTTCAACGTGGAAAATATGACAATTGTTTTTGCCGACTCTAGATTTATAGTATCTACGAAGTAACTATAACAAGCTTAGATTGTTTATAGTAAATAAGGCTCAAGAAAAATACTTAAAAGTAAATTGAAATAAAAATCATATCAGATATTACATTACCATTACCTTAAGAAGAAAAAAGAAATCAAACAAATTATTGCAAGAACAAAAGTGAAATTTTGAAACTTTCATTTATTTTATGTAATTGATAAAAGAAGCAAAGTTGTTAGTATAAATCTACTGTTCGCGAGGATAACATGGCAATAAAACCCTTTTTTTTAAATCAGCTACTTTGTTCGCTAATACAACTGATCTCATTATCCCTTTAGTGCATTGTGGATCACATATGAACCTAACTATGTTATTACAAATATTTTCAAGTGGCGAATAAGAATTGTTCTTTTGTACGAACTAAACCATCATTCGAACTAGACATAGTTTTATGAGTAAGGTACCCGCGGGTGTTACTTAGGCCTGTCGGGCAATAAGGCCTAAGTAACAAAAAACGTAAGAAATACAGTAATTGACGATCAAGGTTACACTCACACAAGTTCAGAGCGTATACAAGTCTCTGCAAAGTGGCGGACGAACGCGTGCACTTCTCCCCCCGCCAGTGTCGTCGAAATCATTCAGCGGTGCGGTCACACGGCACGAATTGTAAAAATTGGCTCCAGTAAAACGTAAGTTATTTTGAAAATATCATATTTACAAATCTGTATTGACTGTCCGTTTATTAATTAATGTATGCTTGTCCCTAGGTTACCATATTAAAGGACTTGTAAAATTTTTATTATTATTTTTTTCTATAATCACGTGATTGGCGGATATTAAGGCCTATAAAATTTTACTATAGGCCTTATTATACTCTTATTTTTTAAACTGCTATATAAGTAGGAGCGTGTTTTTAAAATGTTTGTTGGTGGGTAGTATGTACGTAGTTATACATTTTCAATTTATTTATCATTGTTTTGAGTGCTTACGGTCACGATGCCTCCCAAACGGGCATTGTGGTCAGAAGACGATCTGATCGCAGCTGTTAGAGCAGTACAAAGAGGAACTTTGAGTTCGTATAAGACTGCAGAGATCTATAGGGTTCCTAGAAGAACAATTAGAAATCATCTGCAGTCTGGCAGTTTAAAGAAAAGTTTGGGACGTAAACCTATATTAAATGATGAAGAGGAAGCTCAACTTGTGCAAAAGATAATCCGGTATTCTGAAATGGACTTACCTGTGACACCAAGAATATTGCGTCAATTGGTGTATTAATATTGTGAGCAAAATAATATAAAACACAATTTTAATGATGAGGGCAAACGCGCAGGCAAAGACTAGTTCAAAGCGTTCATGAAAAGACACCATGAAATATCCGTAAGAAAAGCGCAATTTATGAACCCAGCTAGTGCCCAAAAGCTAAATAAATTTATTGTTGATGACCATTTTAAAAACTGAGAGATATCTACGATAAATTTGACTTATATGATCATCCCGAGAAAATTTACAATATGGATGAGAAAGGATGCCATCTCACTATCTACTACCAGCAGTGTTTTGGAAAAAAAGGAGCTAAAAGGGTTCATTTGCAGTCTACAAAAGCCAGGGACCATGCCTTTTGATATTTGACGGAGCAGCACGTCATTTAGATCTTTCCATAATCAATATATCCGATTCACTTGACATTAATTTGTACTGCCTACCTTCAAACACAACCCATGAATTACAGCCTCGTATATCGATCATTCGAGCACCACTGGGATGCTGAATTGTTATCTTTTTTGGACCAAAACAGAGACAAAAAACTCACTAAAGCACGCTTTAACATTATTCTTTCAAGCGTTTGGTCTAAATGTATGACACACAGCAATATCACGAGTGGGTTTAAAGCGACCGGTTTGTATCCCTTCAACCCACAGGCCATACCAGAAACAGCTTTTGCCCTTTCCATTTTAACGGAAGCTCCTGCACCAGATGGTGCACAAGAAAACGCACCAGCTCTCGAACATCCTCATACACAAGCTTCAGAATCCGGAGATACCACACCGTCTATTTTATCGGAAGCCTCAACGTCTGATCGTGATCAAGAAAATATACCACCTATTAATAGTGATCAACAGAAGAGTTCAGAATCTGCTACTAGTTCACCATCAATTTTGACACCGATTCCAATACCAATACCAATGTCTCGCATGGAAATATTTCACCTGTTGATTGTCTTCAACCTGCGACTCCTGAAAAAACTAAGCAATCACCAGCTATAGCATCAAATTATCGCACAGTTTATGGAACAAGCTCTAGCAAAGGATTTTGACAGTTACTAAGGAAAAATATATGGCTGTTAATGAACAGATTATACCGACTAAGAGCAGATCATATGTGCGGCAGCATAATCTTAAGAAACCCCACAAATGGGGCTACTAGAATTTGTGCTTAACAGCAGTTCTGGATTCAGTTATGATTTTAAAATTTATACTGAAGCTCAAGGTCCTACACAGAGTGACCCTAACTTACCAAAAAGTAGTACTAGCGGTGACGTCATAGTCCGCCTTTGTAGTACAATACCAGTAGGACTTGACTATAAGCCATTCTTTGATAGACAGAAGACAAGAAATCTATTTCAACATTAGACACGATAAAAGCTTATCGTATCCCAGGTTACAAGGATTTGAAGAGAAAGGAAGAAAAGCTACTGTAGAAAAGTTAACCATTAGACAATACCGATATTTCTGTAGCTACTTGGTACAATAGGGTTGTGAACTTGGCTTCAACTTAAATCGGTAGCGAACCACCGTCTGACCTTCGTCGTTGCAATAAAAAATACAAATATTGTCAAAATGTGTCATGGTCTATAATAATAGGCATATAAGTGGCTAGACGCTCTTCTTGGCTACTACAGGATTCAGATTAGAACTAAGAAGTTTTATCATCCCATATTGTTCCACATGATTGATATGGTGACTGTTAATGCATGGTTGCAATATAGGCAAACTTTGGACGATTCGAAGCCATCACTGCCTTTAGCAGATTTCAAGGCGTAGTAGTTGAAAGTTTATGCCAAACCAAAAGACCAACAACAAGTAGCAAACGGCGTTCTTATGACCTGAAAAATACCATTGAAGCAAAGAAATTGAGTGACGCTATTGCTATCGTGCCGTCCGGGGATGTACGGCTGGGCTAAGTAGATCATCTGTCTACTTGGAGCACTAGACAGCGGTGTAAAGTACTAGAATGTAATGGTAGGTCACATGTCGAGTGACAAAAATGTGGGGTAAACCTATGGGTTTTCAGAACCATAGCTCAACGATAAAATAATTTTGTTTTAAACTATTACATACAACATTATGTCACTTATTTATTTTATTTGCTAATGACTAAAATAATTATCTTGTGTTTTATGCTCACGGAGCTAATATGTACCAAAGAGAAAAAAACGAGATATTATAAGAAAATGCTGAAACTAGTGTCTGTTTATTTCTTATTTCCCATCACAATTTTTTTTTCATCAACAAATAAAATTCATGCGGTAAAAGGTTAAATAAATATTTTATATACTATTATATTAGTTTTGTTTTGTATCATTCAGTGAAACTGAATAATTCATTTTATCATGTTGGGTAAAAATCAAAGAGGCAGGCCTAGCTGAAATCCCGCTTCACCCCTTTTTTGACCCTTTTCACCCTAACAAGTCGGGATCGACTATATTTTTCTCGTAAAAGTTACATTTTAATGCAGGAACAGTGCCAAATAAAAAAAAAAATTCAGGCACTGAAAGAAATATTTATGTAGTATTTAATAACAAACGGATGACAAAAATATGCTCCAAACCTTGAAATCGTCCCTCTTGATCCCGTTTCACGGTAGCAATAAAATATTACAATAAATAAATATATAAGTAAATAAATATTACAATTTTTATAAAATGTATAACAAGAAGTTATAAATTTGATGAAAGTATATATTGCCACCGGCTTTCGCCATCAACATCCATCTGTTTAATTTTTTTCTCTTTTGTTAATTTTGTTAAGTGATGCTTTACATTATATGCTGCAGCTGGCCATAAATGTTCAGGAGTGTCTGTGTATATAATCTTTACCAAGTCCATTTCTGTAAGATTTTTATCTGCATGATTTTTCAAAGTTTCTAAAATTTGGGTTTCTCTTTGGTTTCTATGTGCTATGTAATACTCAATCTTCTGTATTGGGTCCTGTAAACATTATATCGGATAGTTATTTTGTACACAGTATATTAATAACCGTTGTCGAAGAGTGACAGAGAAAGAAATTCCACTATCCCACAATATCATCTCTAAGTGCCGTAACAAGAGATAGACAGCAGCGTCTTCCTGATAACAACCCAAAAAAAACTGCGGTAGCTAATTTAACTGCCAAACCTAGTAACTATGACAAATATCCATGTCTCCGAAGAGGCACGAGGAAGGCCTGTGTTCAATAGTGGACTTTGATAAGTAATAATGACAGTGATGATTATGTTAGAATCAGTAGGGTTTCATGGCTGCTTAATTTCTTCATCTTATTCTTAGTATCATAATTTAAGAAATTATTTTCATTATCCAAGACAAAATATATTGTGGCGACGATGTAAGAATATCCACTATCCTATATCATCCCGTGGCTGTCGTAAGAGGCGACAGCGGGAAACAAACCATGAGATGGGCAACAGTGTCTTCCTTATAAAAAATAAAACTGCAGATGCCATCCCGCCTGTCAGGCGTCCCAAATATGGCAATTTTTTATAACATAATAGATATAGTAAATGAGCACAGTTCACCCGATGGTAAGTGGACGATGCGGCCCATAGACATTTACATTTATCCTCGATTAAGAATCAAAATGCAGAATGCGTTGACAATGCATCTGCATTTGGATTCCCCTGAGGACTAAGATGATTTTTTTTGATGATTGATTTGACAATTATTTTTTTTAGATATTTCTCTTGTTACGGGCTTAATTGGCTTTTCACCATTACCATACAATTATTGTGGCTGTTGAAAATACTTTATATTATATTAGAATTATGTGTAATTCCCAAAAATTTTAACTTACCTCTACAACATTCCCATGACCAGGATATATTACACTAGGTTTCAAGTCTAATATCCTATTTAGACTCTTCATGTATGTATAAAGGTCTTCAAACACTGCAGTCCCTTCACCTAGTATACAGTCCCCGCTAAATATTACATTATCCTCTAATAACGTCAAAACTATGTGATCGGTTGTGTGTCCAGGTGTGTGATGTATTTTGATGGTAGCACCTTCTACTTTAATTTCTTGGCCATCACAAAGCCAGCTTAATGGAAATGATGAAGGTTCATCCTTAGAGTCATCCTCACTTCTTTTATGTTTCCATATATTTGGCTGCTCTGTAATAGTATTATTAAATTTACAAGAAAAATTAAATCTTCCTCTATAAAATACAGTTAACATTTCAAACAATTTATCAACAAAACGAAAATTAATTAAATGTTAGAAAGGACGCGGGATTGAACATTCAAAGAACAGATGATTAACACATCCTTCATCAAGCCCATATTCACAGATTGAGCTATCCCTAATTCTGAGTTAAGCCAAATGCACTGAAGTACAAGCGTGACCAAAGCGGAGGTGGTACTCTTTTACTCGGCCTTTCATTAGAATTGTCTTCTAAAAAGAGAGCGGGTACCCGCTTTCTTTTTTCCTACCTAGACAGATAAAATATATTCTCCGCGTTTTCTAATTCTCGATCGTTTTCCGCTCCCCGGGCAGAACATATTTTATCTGCCTTTCCCGGCGGGAGATCTCTCTTTTTCCTTTTCCTTCCACGGTCAAAGAATTATAAATGGAATGCCTTTATTCAATTCTTGCTTGCACACTGTCGCTGTATGTCCTCGCACCGGTCAGTAACTATTACAGAAAATAACATCATTTTAATGTTGCAATAATAATTTTTAACAGACAATCTTAATGAAGGGCCGAACAATACAAGAAGCATAACTGTTTAATATACATTTATTTTAGGTATGTATTACGATATTGTTTTATTAACCGTGAGCTTTCAAATAAAAAAAGAATCATCAAAATCGTTTCACCTAGAAAAAAAATCTGAGGTAACACACATAAAAAAGAACCTCTTCCTTTTTATGAAGTCTTTTGAAAAACAACAAACTTACTTGCAATAGGTCCATATATGTCTTCAACCCCTCCTATGTGATCATGGTGCCAATGGGTCAAAACTATGTGCTCTATGTTAACTTGTTCTGATTGTACTACTTCTATTAAATTTTTTTGATACTCCTTGACATTTTTATCACCAGTGTCTAACAATATTCGACTAGAAAAATGAAAAGAAATTTATCTCGCAAATATATTATATTACAACTTATACATAGCTGAAGTATTGAAAAACCATCAGATAAAAATTCAATCAATGAATAATGTATTTGACAACATTTTTGAAAAAGTACCATTGAAAAATATACCACAGTTCTGAGACCTGTAAGTTCACATTACCTACATAAAATTTTGTCCATAATGAAAAAAGATAGTTGATTGAGTGTAAGTAAATTAAATGAGTGTATCTATGTGATCTTTGTTTTGAAGATAACTGCAGTAGAACCAGAGTAATCTAAAATAAATAAAATCTGCCCATATATAAAGTTTCTGTTTACTACCAGCCTCATACCAGTAAGCGAAGTGTAGGGCAGCACCCCTGCATTGGGAGCTCTGTAGGCAGAGCCTTATGATTCTTCAGTCCTATCGACTTCAGGCAGTCACACAATAGTTGCGAAGAAAAATAAGTATTATTTATGATTGTACGAGATATTCAACCTGCAGATAAGAAAGTGTCGGGACAGGGAGCCGTGTTGAATAAGATACCTTTGTACTTTTTAAATTGTTTTTTTAATGATGAAATTATTGAGATTACGATGAGATGATTACGAATTATACTAATTTTTATGCAGCCTAAATAATAAGGAAGATAGTGAGTCATTTAGCGAGATAATTTTTTTTAAGAATACTTTACAGTGACTATGTCATAATTCTTAGGAGATTTTTTTGTTAAAACATATTTACCGGCAAACCTCATCTGACTGCGGAATGCCGATTGTTTATAATGCCATGACCAGAGATGATTCAAATTCATTTTACACTTTTGTGATAACACGGATTTGAATTCTAAAGACAGATTTGCAATTTTTTTTAAACTAAGGCCACTTTTGACTTATTGAATACAAAAATTTCAAGAGTATGCCTCAAATAGAAAAGAACCCTAGTATAGATAAGAGGCCATGGTTCCATACTGCAAACAATTTATTTGTAGAAAACCTATAAGATGGCTATAAGTACTGGATAGGATCCACATGTCTAGGCTACGTGTTTCATCGACGAATGTCTGAAGTTCTTCATAAAAAAGTGGTGACAAATAATCTGACTTCCTTATAAAAGTTGTTGTTGTTGCAAAAATAATTAACAATCAAACAAAGCTTTTGTGCACTCTCGCAAACAATCACAGATTCCCCCCCCCCTCCCCCCCCCTCTTTATACAAGAACCTGCTGTATTTTGTTGCAAAATCTTGACATTTCTAAAATCCGAACCAAACTAATTTTGATTTGTAAATGGCACGACTATAGCATAGTAGCTATTTCATCGAATTCGTAAGCAGTTTTCACAACAACAGAAAAGTACATATATGTTGATCAACCAGCCCTAAATCTATAATAAGAACATGGATGTAGAAGACAGGTGCGATCAAAACATAGAATTGTAAAGGGCTACGTTATGCAGAAAAAAAAAAGGTATATTTCGCTTATTTCTCATTGCCTAGCAATTTTAGCTATTGCAGTTTGCAGCTCACAATGCTTGGTAGTTGTACAAATGAAACGGTAGGAAATACAAATCAATTTATGAATAAAACCAATTTTATGCATTTTATCGTATATTATTTTTGTAACTTAAGCCTATTATTTTTGTATTATTTACCTATTAAAATATTTACAGGATCAACACTCAGGGTGGTTTGAGCTTGCTTTCCTGTAGATTCAGATCTCTACTTGACTCAATAAAGGAAACACTGACTTTATGCATATCTCAAATATCATATGTCCCAATGTACACTTTTAACAGAATATGTATAGTGGAGTTCCACTTACCCCTACGTACACTTCAGAGAAGACTGGCTGAATGGACTGGTCATTTGTGAGGTCACTTAGCCTGATATTATTTACCTATATCAAAAATGGGCCTCAACGTTGGCTTTGGAATTTACGGGTTCTATCTTCCAGGCAGAAATTTACGCCATATTTCATTGTGCAGGATCACTACGTCAATCATATTATACATATAAATAAATATGATAAGTCAAGCAGCACTACGATCAGTCTTTGTGACCTCAAAGCTAGTGAGAGCTTGCATGAATTGTTTAAACACCCTAACACAGAGATTATCAGACTTATTTCTCAGTGCCACCAATTTTTTATACACTCCTAAAACTTAAAAACCACAATTTCGTTACTTTAATAAATTTAGTTATGGTGTGCTATATTAGTCGGTTCTGGTGTTTAAACTTACATTCTAAACTAGACATTATTACCAGCGAGAGCAATATTAATATTAAGAATATATTTTAATCAAATTAAAAGGAACAATATAGATAGCTAATCAATCAATTTTTGTTTTAAAACTAATCTAATGAGATGGTTGAATTTGATGATTTTTTAATAAATTTATTGATATCAGGTTCGATTTTACTCAAAAACAGTAGTAAGTCACTGCTTTAAGTAACATACTAACAATTTCTTTTCTTAGTAAACAGCGTTGTCACAACGCTAAATCCACGTTTACACAAATATGACGATGGGAATGCTATCAAAAATCGTTGAACGATCAACCACAATCCAAGGTACAACTGCGGGATTGACTATTGTAACCAAAATTGTTGGTAGCCATTTTTGAATTTGATTTTTATTTCCTCGTTCGTTGTCAGTTCTATAAGTTCTTCTTCCAGTTGGGGTGATACTGCTATGTTGACATTTGAAAAAGGATCTAACACCCACTGGTATTTCCAGTATCAAAATGTCCTGGAATCTTTCAATGAAATCTGGAATTTTCCAAATGTTGGCAGTAGACAAGCAAGTCGTTATTGTTGCAGGATACTGATAAATTGGGAAAATTATGGAACTCACGTCTGCCGATATTCTTCTTATGTAAGAGCAGCTTGGCTACGAAATCAGCGACGACATTTTTTGTTTTTATTAAGTTCAAGTCATCGCCCTGAATTTGGAATTTTTAAAGGCCTGTCAGGTATATCGCGTACATAGGTATATTATTCTTTGACGTGATGAAGTTCTCGCGCAATTCTGTGTCTTTGTTTTACAAGAACTCTACGACAGAGTAAAACAGATTGTAAAATCGAGTCATATAATTTCCTTTTAATACCCAACGCACTTCTGTGTGAAATATCAATCGGTTGACATCTTCATCATTAGTAACACAAAGCTGATTAAATAATCTGCTATTTAAAGAGTTGTTTCGGATTTAATTGACTGCTCTGATGACATGTTGCAATGATTGAAACAGTTGTTCACTTTAATTTCTAGCAACCATATGTTGTTCAATGTATAACGCAATATACAGCAAGCACATCTGGAATTTTGTTTTTAAGTTTTTTTTATAGAAGAGGGGCAAACGAGCATGCGGCTCACCTGATGGTAAGTGACTACCACCGCCCATGAATAACTGTAACACCAGAGGAATTGCAGATAGTTGCCGGCCTTTTAAAAAGGAGTAGGCTCTTTTCTTGAAGGTCCCTAAGTCGTATCGGTTCGGAAAAATCGCTGGTGGTAATCGATTCCACAAAGAAGTTGTGCGAGGAAGAAAACTTCTTCTAAATTGCACAGTGGTGGACCGGCAATCATCCAGATGGTATGGATGGTATCGCGAGTTTTGCCGCGATGTGCGATGGTGAAATTGAGCGGCTGGAATTAGTCCGAAAAATTCCTCAGAGCACTCCCAGTGATGATGCGATAAAATACGCAAAGAGATGCAACATCTCTGCGCAGTGCCAGTGAGTCAAGCCGATCGGAAAGAACTCGGTCGTCGACGATTCGAACCGCTCTGCGCTGGATGCGGTCAAGTGAAAGGAGCTGGCACTTGGGAGCCCCTGCCCAGAGACGGGAACAGTATTGCATGTGAGGCCGAACCTGCGCCTTGTACGAGGGTGCGTTTTTAAGTTCGCGGAATGGGTAGGTAGGTAATAAGTGGGGACGTCGCTGAATTACGTGCTAATTGAGCAACTGATTATTAGTACAAATACCGGGTTTTATTGTAATTAGATCATTAGTCTTTGAGTTATCGTTAACCAAACAGGTCAATCGGGAAGAAATTGTGAAATATGGAGAAAATCGAGTTCCGTGCCGTTATAAAGTTCCTTACCAAGCGCGGAAAATCAGTTCAGACTATACTGGAAGAGATGTCATCCGTTTACAGAGACTCTTGTCCAAGTAAAACTATGGTTTACAAGTGGCATACCTTTTCTAAACAAGGCAGAGAGTCACTTGAAGACGACGCACGGCCAGGAAGGACGATCGAAGTGACCACTTCAGATATTATTCAAAAAGTCGAAAAATTAATATTAGAAGATGCCCGCCTAAAGAAAAAACAGCACGCATAAATGGTTGTAGTATCAGATACAAACCATTTTCAAAATTCTTCATGAACATCTTAGCATGACTAAAGTCAGCGCAAGATGGCGCAGCCTAGAATGCTCACGCCGCCTAAAAAGCAACAAAGCGTGGAGTATTCTCGTGCATTTTTGGACCTCTGTATGGAAGACAAAGATGGAGTGTTGGCTCGAATTGTTACTGGTGACGAAACTTGGATTCACCATTATGAACCTGAGTCCAAACAGGACTCTATGCAGTGGCTCAAAACAGCACACCACCACCCAAGAAATTTAAGGTTGCACAATCGGCTGGCAAAATCATGGCGACAGTCTTTTGGGACTCCGAAGGAATTCTATTGATTAATTATAAAGATAAAGGTGTCTCCATAACGAGAAATTACTATGCTTCAATCCTAGAATAATTGAAGGAAGCCATAAAGGAGAAAAGAATGGGAAAATTGACCAAAGGAACCCTTCTTCTGCACGACAACGCGCCTGTTCACAAGTGCCATGTTGCGATGGCTGCCCTGTAGAAGGTGGGCTTCGAAATTATGCCACAGCCACCCTATAGTCCTGAACTAGCCCCAGTGATTATTATCTATTTCCAAACTTAAAAAAAGAACTTCGTGGGAAAAAGTATTTCAGTGATGAAGAAGTGAAGGAAGCAGTTTCGGCGTATTTTTTAAACAAAGACAAATCATTTTTTTCTAGGGTATACATAAATTAATTGAAAGATCCGAAAAATGTATTAGGGTAGCAGGTGAATATATTGAAAAGGAAAAATAAATTTGGATTTTTATTTCCACTCCTTACCCCCCATTCCGCGAACTTAAAAACGCACCCTCGTAAAGTTGCAAGTGGTGTACCGGCATGAAATACTGTCCCGCTCTGCTGAGCACGCCAAGCTTTTTAGAGGCCAATTTGGCCTTCTATTCTAAATAACCACGAAACTGTACGTCACTCGATATGTCGATAGGATTCCGATACTGGCTGAGGCAACAAGGGGAGTGCCTTGAAACTGAGGAGATACAACAAAGGGGTTCTTTTTAGCGATAAACGCGCAAACTTGTGTCTTCTGGGGATTGAATTGGACTAGATTTAGTCGCCCTCAGTCTAAGATTTGTTCAACAAAGTCTCGACTTCAGACACAAGTTTGTTCCGGTATTCGGCGACGTTTTCTCGAGAAATATCTGCACGGCCGGTGTTTAAAGCATCACCAGTGCTGTCGTCTGCGTAGCAAAAATGTTACTGGTATGTAACATATCATTGATATGCAGAAGAAACAGCGTTGGTGATAGCACGCACCCTGCTACTGCGACCTTGATGCTCCGATTTGCAAGAAAACTGGTGATCGAATAGCACAATTTCTCGAGAATCTCATAGGAAGGCAGCTACGAACAAAGCGCTTTGTGCCAAACCCGATCAAAGGCCTTCGCCCAAACTAAAGTCCAACGCCTCCCGCTTGGACTCCACTACCTCCGTTATATATAAGTTATGTAATTATATAAGTTAGGTAACCTAGAAGATCACCAGATGAGCGACCTCGACGGAAACCAACTAGCGGTCACAAATCCGCTAGTGATCCTCAAGGTACCGCATGATCTGGCAGTTAATAATGGTTTCCATTACTTTGGAGAACAAGGAGGTGATAGCGATAGGCCTGTAGTTGGACGGATCTGAGCGGTCGCCTTTTTTAGGGATCGGGTGCACCAAAGCGTCTTCCAAGAGTTCGGAACTACGCCTAGAGAGTACCGGAAAAGACGCGTTAAAACTGATGCCAACTCCGGAGCACACGTCTTCGCACAATCGGTGGGACTCCATCAGGCACACTCGACTTGTGACGTCCAGGGAGAGGAGTGCCTTACACACTGAGCGCTGTGTATACAGCACTTCTTGCATCGAGCACTCACACCGCGGGATGGTCGGCGGTGTGTTACCCCGTTATCTAGTGTTCCGTCGTCGGCTTTCTCCTTTGCGTCATGGGCCAGTGAGTCATCCACCCTGTGCAGAGATAGCAGAGATGGCTGACAGAAGTTCCCTTTTTGAGAGAGATCAGATTGCACTGAAGGAATGAAATACCACATCAGCGACAAAATCAGCAACAACCTTGGTATCATCCGGTGAGAAGCAAACCCGTCCCAATCGGCCGACCTATAGTGCCAAATACGGCGGCAAGCTGCAGATCGCAACTGGGATAGGAGCGTGAGTGGCACCATAATCCGGATCAGACAATGGTCCGAAGAGTCTAGAGGGGCATCGACGGAGACCTGATATTCGTCCGGATGAGAGCTCAGCAGAAGGTCCAACAGGGAAGGTACATGATCCTCCACATCTGGGATCCGCGTAGGCGAAGTTGTGTCAGACCTTGATCAGCATGATTGATTAAACCGGAACCATAGATACGAGAGAGAGATAGGAAGTATCAGCCGGAGAGGACACCTGTGTCTCAGTTAGAAAAAGCAAAGCCGGCTTTGCCGTCTCCAGATGGTAGTTGACGGCGTCAAGGTTTGAATGAAGTCCCCTGATATTGCAGAAAATCACGGAAAGCGTGGCAGAGGTTGCCTTTGTCTTATTGCTCAGCTTGCCCCGAGAAGGTTGACCCCATAGAATCCCCCTCCCCCTAATACGCAGGGCACCCTAACCACCATCAGCTGATATAATAGCAGCTGATATAATATTCTTCAAGGAAATTCCTTTTTCATCACAATACTTTTCCAGTGTTTTAAATATGGTTCCTGATTTTGTGTCTGTCTCTAAATTTCTAGCAAGTAATAGTTCTTATTAGATTTATAATATATTATATATAAATAATATATTCATATTAGTTGAAAAAATATGTCAATATTTTATCATCTTTAATAAACCTCATGTAAGACAGCAACAGTGCTTCATTAGTAGGTAAAGTTGACTCATCCAAATGAATTGAAAATTGACTAGTCTTCAGATGATTGCACAATGACTCTTCAATGTTTTCAGCCATTTCATCAATTCGTCTTTGCACAGAACTATTGCTCAAGGAATTTTTCGAATTACATCTGCCGCCAGTTTATGGAGCACAGTAGTTATAACTTCTTTTATTGCCGGCAAAATTAACATTTTTCCAATGGTGTGTGATTTACCTAATTGAGCAATTAACAAAGAGATATTGTATGAAGCTCGAAGTCCGTCATTGTCTTGCTTAGCAGCCACCGAAAAGTTTTGATACACTTGGCTGAGCATCATGCTTCTTTTCCAGGTCTTGAAAATAGGCTACATTTTTGTACTTCTTATCTGGATGCATTTTATTCAAATGTTCTTGAAGTCTTGAAGGCTTCATCGCTTCGTTTGAAAATGTTTTTGAACAAAGAAGGCACAAAGGCAAAGATGGATTTGTCAAATTTTCTATGAATCCATATTTAATATATTCTACACTATATTGTCGTCTCTTCTGTTTTGTTTCCAATGTGGCTTTGTTTTTACAAATATGTAAATAAAGTGTTGAACTTAAATACTTGTTTAAATATTGTGCACGAAACCACAAATGAAAATATAAAAATGATTACGAGCTTTTATATAGGATTAAAATACAGCACACACCGACAGGAATAAGACAAACACGCACAAACTAGTTTATCTCTTTTGACGCTCAATCGTACTGAGCAAGTTAAGAAAAGTATCGATGAACCAGCCAATTGCTACCGGATTACACCACGATTACATAGCGTTAAACAAAAACTTGTTACAACTTGATTGCATATTGCGTACGGGTTATCCTACAAAATTTATGTAAGTATTTCCATTTATATACCATCATATGGGCCAGAAATATAAACTAATTATTCGATATTGAGTAGTAGGCGGGTTTAATTTTAGTATATTTTAAAATATAAAGTATCTAAATGAAATTACAAATCAACCATCTAAACCACGCCAATGCCCCCATTTTTTTCTAGGCCCTTTAACGCCCCCCTCTAGGTCTCCAACGCCCACAAGGGGGCGTTACCACCCACTTTGAGAAAGATTGCCCTAAGGTGTAACAATAGGATAGTTTTGAAATGGGTTCTGGGTTATACAGGTATTTTACGTGGTACACCCATGCTGCAGCTAAATTAATAGTATAGTGATAGCAGGAATGGGTCGGCTCAACCAGAGAAGGACCACGCTCTCACAGAATACCAGCGTAAAATAGCAGCTTAACGCTGCTATGTTTCGTATGGTGAGTGTAGAGAACTGGAGACCCTTTTTACTGGAAATGAGGCATTCCATCTTAGTACTCACAGGTGACATCACATCTGCATCTTGATTTGTAATCAAGGATAAATGTAGATGTCTATGGGCTGGAGTAACCACTTACCATCAGATGGACTGTACTTATTTCTCATCCTTATCCTATAAAAAAGGTATTGTGACCAATGAACAGGCCAACAAGCTTGCACAGTCCTCCCATCAAAAAGTATGCAATTTGACCTAAGACATTTAATGGAATCTCAAAAAGCTTGGCTGAACTGACTCTTAAAACTCTTTTACCATAAAAAATTACTTAAGATCTGGTCTGACACACCAGGCATAAAACATCCCAAAACCTAAATCAGAGTATATAATTGTAAATTCGCTTCAGAAGCCCTAGAATTACATAAGAACAAACTGAGATTTTGGCAAGAGTCCTGACTGCAATGGCTTTTAATAAAGCACATTGCCATCTTGGGACTAAGCAATTGAAGGTGTTTCTTATAATAAGAAATAGAATTTTCTTCCTTGTTCCAGAGTGCACATCCCAACTGATTGACTTAGACCAGAAGTGAAAATGCTCACAGCTAAGAAACTCATTCATTGAAGGTATGGCTTGGTAATGGTAGGCTTAGCATGCATTGCATTATAACCATAGTAGAGATCTTCTTAGACCTGCATTGATGCCCGCACAAAAATAAAGAAATGCAGTACGTCGATAAACGCAAGTGGCTAACAACCATGTTTTGAGGCTTTGCTTGATGGAGGCAATCCTATGTTCAACAGTGTACTAGTAAAGGGCAGTTACAATGATGATAATAGTTGATTGTATACATACTTCGTTCCTGTACCAATCAAGTATGTATTGGTTCCTTGCAAGGTCATAGGTCCAGGATTACACCCAAGTATCCTTATTATTCTGTTAGAAAGTCTTGTTACTGCTGGAATTACTGTTGTCATTTTGCAATACGTCCAAAATTCAGAGGTTTGAATTGAATACTTTTGTAATTTAAAATAAAAGCTATAAAATTCTTATCTCAGCACTGGTTTATCAGAGGTTTGAACCAAAGTAGAATATGATAAAAATTCTTATCACAGTAGTTGTATTTAGGTTTATATGGTAGGCGAATTATTTTGTTTCTCGTCAGAAGAACAAAGACAATGAAAACCACATAACACTAACTGCTGACATAAATTCTCCTTCCTGCGATGTAATCACTACATAAATCGTTTAATTTCGAATTTTTTCAAATTGAATTGTGTGAGAATGATCAGTGACAGGCTGACAGGTAAATAAAAACAAATTACCCATAATCTGTATGTCTTCTTCTTCTTAATAACTGGTTTTATGGCTCTGGGATCTAGCTCTTCTGAGCCTCAAGTTACTATATATTATAATAATTATCCTTCATAGTATACTGCTTCACAATATGTTGATGCGTCACATAGTGCAGCCCTTCGGAGAATTTGACGGCAACTTGAGCCCGCAGACAGCTGATGGTTGGCGATGGTATCTCAAGGCGCCTAACCAGACAGACACCTTATTTTCAGAATTACATCACCATCAGAGCACTTGTTTCACAATTTCCACTAATAGTTCACATGCGCAGACACTTAATACACAAAATGGCACCATTTTTACATATCAAAGTCCACTTCAAACCATTATTTAAACCATAATACAGGAGCAGCAAACCGCCGCCGGTCAAGTTCCCGCCAAAACTCTAATCTGTATGTACATATTATGGAGTGTAGAGTAGAAGGAGAACCACCACCTTCCTTATATATTGCTATACTCTTTGAGAACTTTCTGTATATAAAAAGTACTCTGTGACTCTGTGACTCTCGAAAACAGCACGTAGACGCGGCTCAGAAGGGAAATCGGTCTGTAGTTCTTCAAGAGAGCATTGTCACCTTTCTTGAAGAATAAGACTGCAGACAAACCGCATTTTTGCTCCACGCCTCCGGTGTAATGCCACCATGGAGGATGGAATTAAATAGCCTCTGAAGGACTTCCAGTACCGGTTTCCCACCCGCTTTCAGAAGCTCCGCTGTAATTTCATCCTCGCCTGGGGCCTTGCCGTTTTTAAGATGCTGGAGAGCCATTCTAATCTCGCTCAGACTAACGTCCGGTATATCCTCGGAATAGTTTCGGATAAGACTCGCTCTTGGATCGTTACTTACACATGTATGTGGCTCCAACGATGACGTGCACAGCTGTCCATAGAACCTCTCAATCTCACTCAAAACCTCAGGTGCCCCGGAAACGATGCTGCCACACTCGGTCTTTTGCTTTGACAGTTGGCTCTTTCTGGCAGACAGATCTCTGGCAAAGACTTTGGAGCCATGGTTCCGCTCGATCGCTGCTTCAATACAAGCTGTATTGAAGTTGCGTAAGTCCCGCCGCATGCATTTGGAGATCTGTATGTCCAGTTGCCTGTATGCTGTCAAATCTGTTGAAGAATGTAGCTTCATCTACCGTCTAACAGCCATGAGATTAAGAGTGTGATCTGAGCGTTTTTGTGTTCTTCTGCGGCGGGTGTTGCAGAACTTAGCTCCGACCGCATGGACAGTTTCCACGAGCTTGTCATTCATATCGTCCACTTCATTGCAGTCTTCTAGGCGCTGAAAACGGTTTTGTAACTCGAGCTGAAAGGTTTCAGGACTTTGGAATAGAGCACGAGGGGGAAGGAGCGTTAACTTCATTAGATGAGACCTCTCCAACTTAACGTTTAGGTTCAGTGTGCCTCTAACCATACGGTGATCGCTACCAGTTTTCACCCTCGCGATCACGGAGACATCACTGAACAGTTGTCGTCTGGTCGTCATAATGAAGTCAATCTCATTTGTTGTCGAACCGTCGGGGTTCGACCAGGTCCACTTCCTATGGGGCCGCTTCTGGAAGAAAGAGTTCATCATAAAGAGTCCCTCTTTCTCCATGAAGTCGGCCAGCTGCTGGCCCCTTGGGTTCCGTTGCCCTATTCCAAATTTCCCTACTTTCAGCTCACCTTTCTCTTTTGTGCCTAGTTTTGCATTGAAGTCTCCCATTAACACCGTATATTGGGTTTTGGAGGAATGCATGGCTCTAGCTGCCTGCATACCTAACTCATTGTGTGACTGTGTACCTAACACAAAAAAATCTGTAGCAGTGTGCATTGCGTAAGTGTACATATGTGGTGAAGCCTCGTGAAGCAGCTCAAGTGAAATTTAAAGGATAGCAATCCAAAACTAATTAAAACAACCCAACAATATCCATTGCTTCATGTGATTGAAAAATTTGTTTGCTCGACAACAAAAATCACGCAATGGATATTGTTGAACTGTCAAATTGGTATGGTTTGCCATTGTAGGTGTGTTACGCAATTAGGCTATGAATTTAATTTCTATAATTATATGAAATAAGAACAAACTCATATTAGTAAAAATATCGATATCAGCTGTCCATATTGCTGAGTCACAACCCTATAAAAGGCGGCCATTATATGCGCCAGATGTGTTTAGGTAGTCACGCTAATTCTGTAGATATGCCCAGTCCATATACTTCTAAGTCTAAGTGGTTCATTCACTCTCTACGCTGCGATCTAAGCATAGACATAGTATCTTATAGACTAAACATTCAGTGACGTCATCAGCGTGTGAAAGGAATGCACGTATATAGTTAGACATAAGAGTAAGGGAGAAGCAAATCTATATTTCTTGTCTTTTTCTAGGTATGCGTTTTTGATTGTTTTCCCTCCTTTATTTGACATTAACGATGTCAAGCTCTTTTGAATAATATTGATATTATAAGCAAACAGGTAATTGAATTTAGTGTTTTTTGTGGATCTTAGTTATTAGGTAAGGTGAAAAAGATGGTAAGTTGTAGCATTTTAGGAAGCAACAGCATCAGTCAACGAAAAATTGATAATATTACCTTTCATCGGTAAGTTTGTTTTGTGCTTACATTTGCTACTTATACTGATCAATATCTATTATTTAGAATATAAAGTGTAACATTTCATGTTTTTAATGGACTTTGTGGTGTATTTTGTCAAATATTTGGACTCCCAGATTGTAAATTCTTCATGATAATGCTCCTTAATTTGACGGTCATTCGAAAGCTTAAAGTCATAACAAACGTGTACTTTTTGATTTGGTAGGATTATAGAAACTTTAGGGATATCAGCGAGTACAATAATGTTTTCGCATTGTTCAATAATAATTGTTATTGTGATTAGTAGTTATTTCCATAAATATGAATCACATAATGTTATACATATACATACACTTTTATGTTCAGCTTTAAAGGTAACTCCTTATTGCCCTACAACTCTTCAATCATTTTTCATATTACATAGACGTCACAAATAATATGTAAGTATTACAAGTGTTTGGATTCAAGAACATAAATATTGGGCAAAGTATATTTAATTTCACAAAATATGTATTGCCTGAAATTAGATGCACAAAACTTTATTGCATTCCATTAATTCTATTATACATTAGAAACAATTACATTACAATATTTATCAAAACAGAATATGTCACGCTAATATAAAAATAAATATAAATATAGATAAAATAATAAATAAATAAATAAGTCTTAATCTTAAGGTACACAATAACACAACTACATAAGATAATATTTTCAATTAATGATGTAGAAAAAATTTGATGATAACATATTAACCGTTACCATTAGTCAGTATCAAAAGTTATAGGTTTTGTGATAGTTGCCTAACTTGGCAGGACAATTGGCAACTGCAGTTATTTGGAGACAAACTGTGTGGGAGGTCTATGTTCAGCTGTGGAGGATATAACTATGTTAGGCTGTAAATGTATTAATTAACAATATCTAAAGCTTAATATGTACATAATTTTTTTAAATGTTTGGTATGAATAATATTATCATTACATTTACATGCACTTGCTATTTAATAAAAATCAATTGATATTGTTTTAATTGTTATAGGTATTGTATTTATGCACAGATACACATACAAGATTTTTTTTTGTTTAATACCTTGATATAAAAGTGTACTGTATATTTAATATATTAATTTCTTTTTAATATATTATTTCACAGCTTTCCTAAGGAATCAGCTATCCGTAACAGTTGGATAATCGCTACTGGTAGTGCTTATAGGTAACCAACAAAACTTAGCAGTGTATGCTCAAAACATTTTAAGCCTCATTGTTTTAGGTGGACTAAATATGCTTAACTTATGTAATTTATAATATAATTAAGATAATTTTTTTAAATGTTATAATTTCTTGTTGTATCTTGTTGTTTCTCCATAAGTGATATAAGTTTGATCTTGTTGGTAGTTATGATTTTTGACATTGTTCTGTATGTGTTAAAAATTGACTAGCATTGCTTATTTTATTTTCAAATGCTGACATTCTGTATTATTATGACTTGTAATAATTGGGTGGCATGACAATGACAAAATATTTACCCTTAGATGTATTGATTAAACATGAATCCTCATTTACAAATGTTGGAACTTTATCTGTACTACCATGTTTTATGCAAATAAAGATTTAAATAAAAGAAATAAATAAGTAATTTAAGTCCTAACCTAAATATACAAATGAATAATTTATTATGCAATAATAATTGTAAAACTGACTGGGAATGCCTACCAATGGAACATTTAGTCCACCCTTAATCCCTTTTATAAAGGTGTTATAAACATAAATGTGTAAATAAATTAAGAAATAAATGTAATAATTATGATAATTTTTATTCAATTGTCATAAATAATGTAATAAAGATGTTTTTGACAAGAGATAAGTATTACCTATCTAAGTATAATTTAAGAGTTGTACCTTATTATTTATACTGGTTGGCCATCGCAGTTTTTTATTATTTTAAGTTTTCATCGGGAAAGTGCTGCTGCCCCATCCCCATCTTGTATTATTGCTTACGACGCGGGGTAATATCATCCCGTGTACAGACAAATTCTCTTGTACGCCAC